AGAATGAATGGATAAAGGCGTAAACCTTAAGGGCACTCTTTTGCTCTTCTTTTGAAGCTGTAGGTGACTGATGAACAGAGACAGTTTTGGTTTGTAGTTCTCTCCCGTGGAGATTATTGTCGGTTTCAAATCGCGGCTTCTCTCATCAATCAGCAACATTGGGAAAAATATAAATCCTGGAAAATGTATGATCAGAAAAGGTTTCTTTCGAGTAGAAATACAGCTGCACAGATTACGAACAAAATATATTAGCGTGATTTCATCATTTTCTTAAATCGCGCGAAATACAAAACTTAAATAGTGTAATCACGACGAAACGAAATTTTCTACGCTGCAACAGGGTAGTTTTTTTTTTCATCCTATTCGGCATTTCCAAATGTCTGATAATTAGGTATTTACAGTAGACAGTGAAATGCTTAAAAACAAAATTTTGATAGGTAGCATATAGTTGACTGTTTTTTTCTTCTTTTCATTTCACTCTCGTTACTTTTTCTGTTAATTCTAGGAGTTTTCAGCTTTCACTTTTATAGTTGCCTAAAATCTAGACCGTAGTTTTATGTTGTTGTTGTTTGCAATAATTAGCTCACAGGCGAGTTAAAAAATATCTACAACGAGATCTCTCTGACATTTGTTGACGCTTTTTTTTTCTCATCATTTCATTTGGCTACATAATGCTTCCTCTCTGAGCTGAGAATTTCAATTCAGTTCAATGGGTAATTTCAGAATATTTTCTCCAAAATAAGGAAAGTCGGAAAAGGAACCCAGCAGGATTAACAACAAGTAAAAAAAAAAAAGATAACACACATTCCTGTGTAAAACGATTTTAAAGCCTTTGGCGAAAAGATTAAGTAAAAAAAATAGGTAATATCCTTGTGGAAAGTAGAGTAAGGTGGTGGGGAACATAATAAATTGCTAAATGCACTATCGTTCTCACGTTGCAATTTGCCACATGGTGTGGATGTTTTTAGCACTGCTCTTCAACTGGTTAAAATCACAGGAATGACTAAGACAACGGAGCGTGGCCAGATAGAACTCCTGCAGGGCTTGCAGACGACGCAAGATGCGGGCGGCCCAGGTCGGACGTTTAGAGGCCAACCGGTAGAGGCGTAGGTTGAGCGAGATGTTATCGCTCAGCTCCCGCTTCATTGCCCCCAAGCAATCGTCACGCGATGGCGAGTTCGGCTGTGAGTAATATATGGTTGTTATAGAGTTGGAAACGCGATTATGGGAACGAACTTACCTTCATGTCGTTGCATATCAGAGTGGTGGCATATAGCCTTTCGGGTGGGTTCAAATTGGAAAGAATAAACCCGAGCACGTTAGGGACGGTTATCGGGAGACTGCGGGAGAATACACGACTCTCGGATTTTCTGGAACATAAAAAAAATAATGTATCGAAACGGCTAATAGCCGAGTTAAAGGTGTTGTTACCTCTGGTTGGGGAAAATGATCAAAGTTGGAAATGAATCCATGGTGTACTCCCACCGGAGGTCGTTCCTGTCACCATCGATGCGGACAAACTCTAGCAGTGGTTGCTGCTGGAGCATCTTCGAGATGATGAGCAGATGCTGCGAGAGCACACTGCAGAAGGCACATTGAGCAGAGTAGAAATGAACGACGACAGTCTGGAAGTGAGTTTCAATTAATAATTGTCAACAGCAGAAAGGTTCACATTTTTTTACCTTATTGCAATTAACCACAACGTGATTGAAATTGTGAGAATTGATCTCCCGCACGAAATGATGCCTGTGGTGCTGCACTTGAGGCTCGCCGGATGGTCTTGCCTCTTCCGGCGGTTTCCGTTCCGTTTTAATTTCATTTCGAGAAGCGTTCTGCTTCTCGCCGCCATCTTTCTGCAGCTTAGTTACCATTTCCGATCGTTTAACATCAATCATCCTGCGGTGTTCCTTCCGGAACTCGCTCATATTGAACGAATGAGTAGTTTTGAACGAAACATTGTTCGACCGCAGAAACCGCGGATAGGTGCCGTTGTAGAAGTCGTGAACCAGCTTCGCCATACTGGATAAATTAACTTGCTTTCTTAGGAGATAGGTAGATTCGTCCTGAAAGTGGTTTAGATTGGATTGAGATAAACAGATATTGACTTTGTTGGCAAATGGTTCCTACCTCCGGGTCAACAATGATAGCGATGGACTTGTTGGGTTCGTGCAGCACATCCACGCCAAGTCGTTCGGCAAATGCATGATACAGATCGCTGTCCATTCCCAAGAAAGTCAACGTCTTGTTGAACTTACAGGACATTCCTTTTACCAAATCCACATACACATTTTCCGGCCCTGTGGGCTCTTGAAAGAAAACTTCACTGTTATCCTCTTCACTCAACCGCAGCAGTTCGCACTGTCTTCTCAAACTTAGTCTCTTCAGTAGCTTAGGACCACGATAGTCCTGATCTGAATCCAGCATAGAAGTCGCCGGTTTCCCTTCCCGACCATCATGCTTCATCGACCCATACAAATGACTTCGTTTCCTTTTCCCACAACTTTCACTCGCTCCCAGTTCCATCGATTCTTCGATATCTCCACATTCATAGAATCGCTCGTCGCACTTGACCTGCTCAATGTCACAGAACCCATCACTCTTCTTCCGCGCTTCACCAAACTTAGACGAATTCAACACATTTACAAACGAAACTGCAATCGCAGATTTACTGGAAGCCCTGCAATCACCCTCCGCTCCGCTTCGATTTTCATCTTCCTGCGAAGGGTGACGCTTCAGCATCAACTCACACTCCTTGCTCAACTGACTGTAGACGTCGGCACTGACACGCCTCTGCTCGGCAATGTACTTTTTCGCCATCTCCTGCACCCAGATGTCGTTTCGACAGTTGTAGTACTGCATGCCGAGCTGCCGAAGCATCATGTAGGCATCCGAAGACGACCCGTACAGGGACCGCGGTGTAAAGAAGAACAACACCGGCCCTTGGTTGAAGTATGGCGCCAGGGAAGAAGACTTGGTTGCCCCCGGGGGAGCGATCCACATCGACACCACTTGGATTTGTTTGTTGATCCAGTTGGTGAGCTCCGGCATAGTCCACGAATCGTTCCCGGGGAATTCCTGTGAAAGTATACATGTTTAACAGTGTACCAATTTATGGCTCCTCCAAATTAAAATCTCTGCCATTGATCACGAGTACGACCAACGAGAAAATACTCACAATTGTTTCGTTCCACAGATACAGCCGAATGGCCGGAACCTCTTCAACCCCAAATGCACTGGAAGACTCGCCCGTTACAGCGCCGAATGCCACCTCCTGGAAGGGATCCTTCTCCAGCCACTTGAGCGACGTTTGATAGAACCGATTGTATTGCTTACGATTGACATTCACATCGATAAATGCGACGACCACCGCCTGAAAGATTGAACCGATTATCAACGTCCCACCTGCAAGCCACGGCGCATATCTCTTACATCCTTTCCGGTCATGAAGCTCATTAGATCGCCGGGACCAACCATCCGTTGGATGGGATTAATCAGCGATTGCACAAACCTGGACAGCGCCGCATTGGTCCACGCCTGGTGAAACTGGACGGCCATCCCGTTCGGCTGATAGGCCATCAGAACCGGCCAGGATTGCACTTTGGAGTACTGCAGTCGGCACTCGCCTCCCGGCTGCCAACAGTTGATGGCGGCAAAGTGAGCCTCCCGGTAGTAGAGCCGCGCGACATGTTCGTAAACCGAGCGGGCATGTTGGCTTTCGGCGCACCACGGTGCGTAGTAGAACACAAATGATAGCTCCGACTGCGAGACGCGTGTCTGAGTGGGTCCCAGAGCTCCCGTGGGCCAATCGTGCACTAGGGACCCTTTCGAGAAGAACGGTGCCGGCGGTGGTGCTTTCGATATTCGGGGAGGACTGGAAATAATCGTCTGGCCTGAAGGGGATTCCACAGAATTAAATGGAAAACCAAACCTACCTGTTTTGAATGGACGCATATGTCGTCAGTAAGAGTGCCAGAATGCACAACGCCTCCCGACCGTAGATAATAATCATGCTGATTCGGCTATACCTTCTGCCTCGATTGTTACTACCGTTATCACTGGATTCGTCCCCCGTGTAGTGATACTTTACCACAAGATCACTCGACGATTGTAGCTCTTGTTCCACGTCGTCTTTCACATTGTTTTGCTTCTTGCTGTCGTCATCATCAGCATCAGCAAGTCTCGTCAACAGCGACGATGGGCTTGATTGCTCCACTCCTTCTGCATTGCTTGAGGACGATTCTTGCTGGTGCTGGCCCGGAGGATTGATGGAAGTTGTAGCCTCGTCGACAGTCGCCTGTTTTGCCCACGGTGCGAGACTGGAACTGATCCGGCGGCGACTGCTCCGTTGCTTTTCGTCCGCTTTCAGCTTCGTAGAGTTGTTGCTGCTGCTGCTGCAATCTTCGACTGTTTGCTGCTCCCAGGCTTGTGTTAGTGTATTCATAAGGAACCGCTATTTTCATTCGTCGTCGTCGTCTTTGGCTCTGTTGTTGCTGTTGCTGCTTTCGATAGTGCTCAACCGAGAAACAACACGTCATTACCATCAGCAGCCGTCGTCGTCGCTTTCGTCGTTCAAAACACGGCCCCAGCCAAACACCAGCAGTGAAGGGGAAGAAGCCAATCAAAACAGCATAATACTCTTGCTTTCACAGCATTCCGCACGACCTTGCTATCGCCGCTTGACAAGCTTATCACTTACGGCCCATCCGGTAATCGGTGCCCTTGGTGGATAAAGCTCACAATCAATTGCAAATTTCGGCTAATTCAATTATTACTAGTTTTTTCACAGTTAGAATTCCGAAGAACGGATCGCGATATGGAAATAAAAGTTTTGACGTTTCACGACAGTTCACGACACTTGCGTTCGTTTAGCAGTTGTGTCGGTGGATGCAACATGACAGTCAGCTGATCGAACCGGTTCGGTTTTGTGTATGCTCAACGAGCTATGCTTTGCTACAACCCTGAAATTTGTTTGTAACCAATGAAACATTTAAAAATCGTCCTTCGGTGATAAAAGATCCTGCGGAAAAATGAGCGACCATCAAATGCCGGTTTTTAAACGAATGAATTTGGCCCAAACGAATTCTATCGCTGGTAACAAGAAGCGCACCTGGAAGTCCCTCAAGCAGATTACGGCCTACGAACGCACGCTTCCTTGGAAGGATACGGACGTGACTTGTAAGTTCCATAATTAGTATTTTCTATTTTGAAAGTGGAATTCCATTAATTTCATTTCCAGATTCCTCCATTAACGCACCGCCCTCGTTCGTTCCGGCCAAAAAGTACTCGGACATATCCGGCCTGATTGCCCCGTACACCGATCCGCAAACCAAGCTGCACTTCCACAATGCGGAAGAGTTCCAGACGGTCCGGAGCCTACCGATGGATCTCACCGCGGGCTTTCTGGCGCTGCGAGGGGCAAGCAGTATTGTTTAGAATTACTACTTTAGATGTTATATATCGCTTTTGCTTAGTCGATATGTTGCAGCCGATCAATCACTGATAAATTCTAGATAGAGCTGGAATTAGGGCCTAACAGCTTTTGTAAACAATGACTTCTATCGACGATTTCTAGAAATTCAAGACTCGCCCACGCAAACCAACATCCTCATCAGGTAGGAAAAGACTTCCCCTATCCGATGGTTATGTTGGTTTGCGTGGGCGTGCCTTGAGTTCCTAGAAATCATCGATAGAAGTCATTGTTTACAAAAGCTGTTACGCCCTGATTCCAGCTCTATCTAGAATTGAACTATTCCCATTTTGCTTGAAATTTAACCAATTTGACATTAAACTCAGTTTAATCATATCGAATGATTAAAAATTAATCCTCTCTTTCTAAAAAATAAGTATCTGATATTAATCTCAGTTTAATCATGGTTGATTAGATTGTAGATTACCGTTTTTTGAATAAAATTTAATCATTTATATTTATATTTTCTATTTAATACAGGAAAGATTTTAAGCTTTTTTTTCATTTAATTTATCTTTGAGTGAATATCAGATTTTACTGCCAGTATGCTACGCTGCTCACTCCTAATAAACAAAAAACCATAAACGAAAGATAAGTCAAATAGAACTTCGACAGTGAGCATGCATAAGGGCCTATACGCGATTATCGATTCTCTTCATCGATTTTCTCTTTGCATTGCTACAGCTAAGCGAAACAATTTTCTAGAATTGGTTCAATGCAGAGTAGTAAAAGGTTGTATTGGCTATCAAAAGCAACAGCAAACGCACCGAGAAACGTTAAATAGCGAGTTATTAACAAAAGAGAAAATCGACGAAGAGAATCGATCATCGCGTATAGGCCCTTATGCATGCTCACTGTCGACTTTTCCTCAAATGGTTTGGATGATACCTCAAACACGTTGTAAAGCAAAATAACCATTAACAAAATATTAGGGTCTGTACAGTATTCCCCCTAGTATTCCCCTACTTATCCTGCAAAAGCATCGCCGGACTATCGGGGTTTTATAATACGACTATCAAATCCATATTTAAAAAAAAATCAAATGAAACCGACAGCATTCTTACAGCACAAATCAGAAAATTGACTGCACGATATATCCAAATGCATGTTGTTATTTTTCAATCCGATTTTTTTTTTCGGATAAATAGTGTCCAGATTATCTAGTGTCGGATGAGCGGGGAGATACTGTAATAGCAGCGCACGCTGATTTTCACACAAAACGGCCAACGTAGACATTTTGTATGTTATGATCCAGGCTATATAGGGGACATGGCTCTAATGTTGGCCTATGGATCTAAGGTTAGGCCCATCGCTAAAAATTTGCTATTTATCAATTTTATCTAGATGAACGCGTCATTGGGACGGTACTAATGGACATTTTTGGTCGCTATTGAAAATTTAGTCGATTGCTGAATTTATGTATGGGCCCAAATTAGGGGCATATAGGCCCACATTTCCCCTACGATAAAATTCCCACACACTAAGACCTGACCTGCATGCGAATTAGCAGGCAATAGAGCACTTCACGAGACGTTTCTGATTCAACTGATGAATGAAATTTGACAGGAGACGGTTACCTAATTGTAACGTTTTATATTTGACTCTTCCCGTTTTCCGTCCGATCAATTCCGCGTTCCAAATGACCGCGACTCGTCATGCTCGGTCTTTCTACCTACCGATTCGTTTTGTCTCTTTCGTTATCACCTTCTTCATCTCAAACCCGTTACTGAAAACATTGGGGAATCCGTCTCCATAATCAATGCGTGTTGCTACCTGTATCGATACAAACCGTTACATCCCTCCTTTTTTATAATTCAATTAACATACAAAATTTTCTGTTGAATGAATATTTTATGAGTCTTGTATAACTTCACTTACCAGTTTACAGTACATAATCTTCATATTTAGCTGTAGCCCTTCGCTGTCTTTCCAACATCATACGACTGTTTGTTGTCGGTCAACAACTCTCCATCTTCTTCATTTGTCATTGTCCCCGTATGTGTTGATCGTGGTGTCGCGTTGTCTGGCTTTTCCGGCAACTTTGATCGCTTATCCATCTTCTTAAGATGTGTGCTATTTCGGATGTAACTTTTACCTGTCTCGTTGGATTTTATCTGAACAGCACTTCCTTCGATGTCCACGACTTCAAACTCTTGTTCTGAGAAATTTGGCTGTAATGCTCCTTTCTTTAGGTTCCGTTGCAATACTGTATCTCCCCTTTCCAGCTTATGATGTTTAGCCTGGCGCTGCTCATCTGCCTTCTGCTTGTAATACTCCTTCAACGCCATATCCTTCCCAACAAACAATTTTAGCTGCAGTTTAGCTTATACAGCCAAAATTTGCCTTATGCAGCTAATTTTTGCCTGTGTAAGCTAAACTGCAGCTAAAATTGTTTGTTGGGTTGTCTTTGCTAGGTTCCAAAAATAATGCCGGAGGCATTGTAAATGTAATGTAAATTTCTCTTCCGAGCATCATTCTACTCGGTGAAATTCCAGTAGTCTATTGAAGAGTTGAGTGATATACACACTTAAATTTTTTCGCCGAGATTCCAACAGCCGAGTAGTTCTGCAATTTATTTAGCTGAGATTCAGTAAAACAATTACCGAGACTCAGCTAACAAATAACATTTTGCTGAGATATCAGCTAACAAACATATATTTTACAGAGATATCAGCAAAAGTAAATGCCGAGGTAATCAGCAGTTGGAGATTTTACCGAGCTAGATTAAGTGTGTAGGATCAAGTATTCGTACAAGTCAGTTTTCCAGTCAGTGTTCTGAATGGAACTGATCTTTACGTGAAATGAATTCCGTAGAGATAAATGTAAAGCTTTTGCATTGCCCATATTATAACGAGGCACTCTTTTTCCGTTTGACAGTACTTTTTTTCATGGTCTGCCAAACTCTTCGAAATGCAAGATATTGTTCTTGGAATACCATCTTTAATTTGAACTAAAATGGCACCTAATCCAAACGGACTAGCATCTGTTGTCAATAGTGTTTCGTCATTAGAATCAAAATATCCTAGAGATTCAACCTTTCCCAGTATTGCTTTGATAGCTCCTAGTTCCAGTGAATGCTCTTCACTCCAAGTAAATGAACTCTTCTTCACTAGCAATGATCGCATGTGACGTGTCATAGCAGCAAGATTGGGAATGAATATTCGACAAAGTTTATCAATCCAAGAAGAGATCTTAATTCCGTTGTTGAACTGGGAGGTTGTAAATCCAAAATAGCTCTGATTTTGTCGTCAGTAGGTCTAATCCCTTCGGTTGTAACGCAATAACCCAGGAAAATAACTTCTCTTACGCCAAACTGAGACTTTTGTTCGTTAATTCTCATGTTTCTCTTATGAATACGATCCAAAACCTCCCTCAAAATTTGATCATGTTCCTCATCTGTTGTCCCATGAACTAGCAAATCATCCATGTATACTATCAATCCCCGAATCCCTCTGAAGAGATTCTCCATTTCCCTTTGAAATAGTTCAGGTGCTGATTTGATACCGAACATGAGTCTAGAAAATCGGTATACTCCACTACGAGTGACAAACGTGGTAATATTTCGACTGTCACCTTCTAGCTCAAAATGGTAAAACGCTGCCTCAAGATCAATTTTCGACAACTTCGATACCTATTAAATTTGTAAACATTTAAAATTCACATTTATTTATTTATATTTTTTTAGAAAAGTATTACATACCTTGGGAATTGAAGCCATTGCCACGTCGATATTGGGCATTGGAAAATTTTCTCGATGCACTGCCTTGTTTGCCGCTCTCATGTCCACGCATAGACGAATTCTCCCGTCATTCTTACGAATGGGTACTAAAGGAGAGACCCATGTCTATGGTCCTTCTGTCCGCTCGATGATGTTCTTTTGTAGAAGTTCCTGTATTGTGTTCTCCACGTCAGCCTCCATAGCGATAGGGAATCTCCGTACAGCTTGTACAATAGGTTGAACTTTATCATCAATCTGGATTTTGAGTTGAACGTTTGGTACCTTTGGGAATTCTTCGAGTTGATCGACAACACTGTTTGCACTAATCTGGTTCACATTGTAGCCAATTTTAAGTACACCTAAAGCAAATGCTGTGCTTTTGCTAAGAAGATTCGTTTGGCCTCGTGGAGCTACTAGAATATGAGACCAAATTCCAAAATCCTCACCAGGAATCTTGATTTCTGCTTCGAAAGCATCGCTGAACACAATGTTTTCATCGGAGGGAAACGACTTCAGTTGCAGGTCATCTCGCTGGGGGCTCCTTTCATTCAAAATATGTGCGTTGTTAGTCCTCAAAAACTCGAATGTTTGGTCGTTAATGATATTCGCTGGAAATCCTGAATCGATCAACATAGATGTAACTATGCCCCCAATGTCCATAAAAAGTACTTCTTTCAGCTCGTCGTGGCTAACAAAGAACACAGCTTTATTATGCTCACTTGTCGTTGAAATTGCGCTGACACGTTTGTTTTGGTATCCTTTACGAAAACCGGTCTCATCTCGTTTGCGTTTGCGGCAACATATCTTAAAATGCCCTTTTGTACCGCAATTATGACACGCAGAATTTTTCGCTGGACACTTTTCTATTTCTTTTGCGAAATGGCCGGATCTATTGCAGTTATAGCATTTCCTCACATTACTCTGGTTGCCACTGCTAGACGGTTCAGCTTTATAGTTTGATATGCGCTGTACGATCATAGATGGAGGCCTTTCGTATTCTTTGGTCTGCCTCTGTACTTCTTCGAGTGTCTTACCTAGAGTAATTGAGCTGTTCAGCGTCACATCCTCTGTCAAAAGCCGCTTTCTGAGATCAGATGATATGCAACCTTCAATTATCTGGTCAACAATCATATCATCGACATCCGCGAACGTACATCTATTCGCTTGATCTTGTAATCTGAACACAAATTCTTCAAATGGTTCTTGATCTTCTTGCTTCATGGCTCGAAAAAGATGCCGCTCGAATCGTTTTTTCGACTGTGG